ATAGAGAGAGAGTGAGAGGAACCATCCTGGATTCAATCTAATCCTTAAATTATCTAGTTCATGAACTAAATTGAATATTTATAAAAAATTTAGGATCACATTGGACAAATTAAATGTTTAGGGACAATATTGCATATTGGGCTAAATTCAATGGCTACATTGAACAAATTTAAAGTTCAGAGATGACATCATATTGCACATTGACCCAAATCTCATAGACCATTTGTGTCACTTTTCTTTTAAACATCGATACATGTACTTTGTGACCCTCGAACTCGCTTGGAGCTACTAAGCTTGAAGGCACAATTTGAATGAGCCTGGACAATGCATGCTTCCTTCTTGATCGGGGATCGCCTACTTAAGTTGATCGTGTTAGGAGCAAAGCTCGTTTTTATCCTCGTATCTTGGATTGGGCCCTTGTCCTTGCTTGACTGATCCTAATTAGATCTAGTTGGTAGTTATCGTATCGTTATCAAAAGCATGCACATTTATCCTTTTGAGAGCGATCTCGATAGAGAAATTGAGAAATTGCACAAATGAGAAAGACATGAAGTAATCACAATTCCTATTCGACAATATTGGTTGGTCGATGAGCCATGAATGGCCGGGACCGCGTCCCTATCCTTCGCGCCTTTTCCACCCGAACGTCGCGGGGGAATCTCTTTTCCGCCCCCGCTCGCGGCCTTTTGCCAATGCGGCTTTGGCCTGTTGGGCGTCTTCTACGGTACGTGGTAATGTACTACTCAATTGAAGCTAAGGTGCGTATGATAGCTTTGATAAGTGAAGTTTTGGATCTTTTCTAGTTCATATGCATTTCCTTCCTCCTTTCGCTTTTATAAAAGGGAGATTGATTTCTCATGTCAGCATTGAGTGAAGACGACGCTTTGTTCTTCTTTGATTGAACACCCGACTCATTAAAAAAATTCACTTTTTCTATTGCACTTTCTGCACCATTTTGTTGCGTGCAATCTGTCCTCTTTCGAGTTCGAAAGCATCTCGAAATGGCAACGAAGTAAAACACAAACAAAAAAGGGGTCATTGGAGCAACAATCGGGTCCAATCAAAGGCACCAACCATTTCGTTTATCGTAAGCTCGATAGGTATCGCAATGATTGCACATGTGATGGGATGCTACAAAATTAACGTTATCTTTTGTTCATGATAGAGCCATCCCAACTCCACTGTCGGCTCATGATCTTTGCCTTCTCTTTCGGAGTATAGATTGTCGTGATGTAATGCACAATTTATCGTGAGAATTGAACGTGCATGTCAAATTTTTTCACTTATAATACTTTGGGTTAATACCGATAAAATCCACGGACCATACCTCCGCGATACATTTACCTGAACTGGTTTTCATCTCGCAAAGATTCCAAACATAGGTACCCTCGACTCAAATATACCCTCCATCAGCATTTCGTCCGACATTCAGTTAAAACACGCGTACGTGTCAGCACACATAGATTTTTCACGTCGAATCAGTTATTCTCCATGTTGAATCCATCTTACAGTTGCCTGTTGCGTGTGTTGACGCGCACGCATTTTAATGGGATACTGGATGGAATACTGACGAATGGTAGATTTGGTCGAGGTACCGGTATAGGATTTTTTGTAAGACGAAAATCAATTTGTGGGTAAATGTGTCATGGGTAAACCGGTCTAAGATTTACAATGGTACGAACTCTAACCCTCAACAAGAGTGGAATAATTTTGGATTAGATTCTGTATGGCTAATCTTCACAAAGTAGTTTCTCGAGCCGGTTCCAACAACTCCTCCCAATTTTTGGTCATTGGGAAAATGCTATTTTTTCGGCATTTCGGGTCCGTACGACCGAACCGTTCTAGCGACGGGACTTCGCCACGGTCATTATCGAGTCCTAGGAACTTTGAACCTATAGCAAGGTATGTTGATTATCTTTGTCACAAAGCATCATTAGGGTAAATCAAATCTCGGTATAGTCACGCCTGCCTCATCCGTATCGCTTCTGCTTTCTTGGATGATCCATTATATGAAGACCAAAAGAGAAAAAAAGGAGAAGAGGTGAAAGGGAAATCGACATTCATTCATGCAATTGTTGATTTTGAGATTCAAGAATTATGAGCAACCCGTCGCATACGTAATGATCAGAGTGTCAATTGGGTCATTCGGTGCCAACTGTCTTTCACTATTTAGGATCTAATCGAGAGTACGTGATGTCAATTCAAAAAGAGCCTGAAATGTCAATTCCGAACTTTTCAATTTAGTCAATTTAGTCCTAAACCTTTTGACAATCTGTCAATATAGTCCTTCCGGCCATTTGAAGGTCATTCGAATAGCGAGAAAATTACCAAAAGAGTCTGAAATGTCAATTCCAAACTTTTAGATTTAGCCAATTTAGTCCTAAACCTTTTGACTATTTGCCAACATAATTCTTCCGGCCATTTTTGGCCGAAAATCGCTAACATGGACGTCGGGCGTCCTACGTGGCATGATCAGTACTGACCTAGACAATCTTTGCATTATCTTAAATTTTAAAAAAACTAAAAATGAAAAAAATGGAAAACAAATTCAGAAGAATTTGTAAAAATTGGCAAAAATTGTCCTGTCGTGTCACGTAGGACAACCGGCGTCCACGTCAGTGACTACGAAAGGACAGTATTCGTAAATCGTTAAAAAGTTTAGGACTAAATTGATCAAATTGAAAATTTAAGACTAAACTGATTCTCGTACAATAAATTTATGATTTTTTCATAAATTATCCATTTCAGTCACCTCCGAAGGTCTTCGCATCGCATAGCATGATTGGCTTAGCGATCTTGCACGCTCAATTATCTTTCAGGGCATCTCGAGTTCGAGTCTCTGACCGACTTGGAGCGTTGAGCCCAATATGTGCTTATACATTTCGACTTTTCAAAAAAGAAAAAAAGGGAAAATGAATTTTTCATGTCAACATCGAGTGAAGAAGATGCCTGTTCTACTTGACTTAACACCCAACCCAATAAAGAAATTCACCTTTTTCTTTTGCACCATTCTCTTGCGTGCATTTTTGTCTTCTTTTGAGTTTTGAGTTCGAGAGCATCTCGAAATGGCAACGAAGTAAAATACAAACAAGATGTGTATTGAAGGACTAATGGGGGCCCACCAAAGGCACCAACCATTTCGTTTTCTATTATACCTCGATCGTGTCGCATTGATTGTACATATGGAATCATACAAAATTAACTTTATCTTCATTTTTTCATGATACAATCATTCCAACACCACTGTCGTCGGCTCACGATCCTTCCCTTTTCTTTTGAAGTATACTATGTTGTGATGTTAACGTACAATGTTATCATGAGAGTTGAGGATGCATGTTGAATGCTATGCTTATAATCCTTTTGGTTAATACCATTAAAAGTCGATAACCCCATGATACATTAATTCCCAAACTAATTTTCATCTCACTGAAAATAGCAAATGAGTACCATTAATTCCCAAACTAATTTTCATCTTCGACATGTATGAACAACATAATGAGATATAATGGAGTATTAAATTTAACATGGATAGTTGGTTTTAAAAATAGAAAATAAATAATGAAACCCAATTTAAAAAGTTATTTTGATTAAATTTTGTATGTTTAATATTTGCAAAGTAGTTCCTAGAGCCAATTCCAACAACTCCTCCTGGTTTTAATCATCGTGAAAAGGGCTAAAAATTTCAATCGTTATATCCGTGCCGCATCTACCCAAATTAATTCTCGTGTCACCAAAATTTCAAATTGGTACATCCATGCCCCTTTACCGCAAACTAAATTTTGTGTCATAAAAATTTCAAACTCAGTATATCCGTATCACATTTACTGTAAAACTAATTTCATGCCATAGAAAATCCAAAATCACCGGAATTCGAGCCTTTTGACCAACTTGTCGTCTTGGACCCGGTCTATATATTGCTTGTATGGCACTTACACGATTCTCCTTTTCACTAAAAGTAAAACAAACTAAAATAAACCGTTCCAATCTCCGTGGTGAGCATTTTCATAATAAAAAAAAAAAAAAAAGAGATGTGGATCCTCTACAGTTTTAGGGTAACTAGACCATATTACTCTAAATTGACCAATGTACCCCTTTGTTTAATTGGATTACAATGTTAAAGTATGTCATATAATTGATTTGCGGGGTTTATATGTTCTTTATATAAATATGTCATCTCTTTACCTATAACCTTAAATTTTTGGATTGGATATTCCCACTTGTATCGGAGCTAGATCTACCTTAGTTTATTTTGCCTGTGCGGCCCTCCATTCGTCGAATTTCACGTGTCCAAATACATGCGGCCCTCCCTCCATTGATAAATTTAAGTTTTTGGATTTGACATTCTAATATACACTAAGTCCACAAAACTCCGAATTCTCTTTTCCCTTCCCCCCTTCATCTCCCTCCTCCTTCGCCTTAGCCGCTCGTTACCTCTCATCGCGCCTCACTGCCATTGCCCATCCCAAGCTTTCCGTCGCCATCCCGTGCGACCCAAGATTCGGGACGTCGTCGAGGTTCGATCTCGGATCGGAGGTGGCGGAGGCCCTAAAGACAACAACGGCGGAGGCGACGCGGCGGCCCTAAATCTTTAATCCTTCAAAATTGTAAAAAAGGGGTACAAATTGTGACGTGGAATTTCGTTGTTTTTTCCTTTTCTTTTTGCGCCTCCCCCCATCCACATCTAGAATCAAATCTCCAATTCGGCGTTAAATTCTCCAACAAACACCAAAAACCCCGCCATCTCTCTAGTCCGTGCCTCTCCCCGAAGCTTCACGAGAAACATTAATTGAACGCGAGTAAGTCCAAACGACACAGCCATTGACGCTTGCCTCTGTCCCCTTCCCCCTCCTCTCTCTCTCTCTCTCTCCCCACTACGAATTCAGACAAAGTAGGCAGTAGCATCCAAACAAAAAGCTCAAAAGCAGAGCCATTTGCATTGTTTAGAGAAGAACGAGACGGAGAGAGAGAGAGAGAATCCCCAGTCACGGGCTCGTCCCGTGCTTTATCCGCTAGTGCACTATCACCAGTATATGTACAGATGTATTAGATTCTCCCCTGTTAGGCATCCTCCTCTTTAGCCCGAGCGCCATTCATTGCCGCCTCAGTTTTCTTCTTCTCCTTCTTCTTCCTCGTCCCAATTTAGACATTTCCAGTCACGGGCTGCTACAAAACAAGCGCCCTTTTGCTCTGTTCACCACCACATTCCGCCCTTATATAAGCCCCGCGAGTCGTTCGTCGCTCCTTGCTTAGGGAGTTGCTTTTCGGGAGGTCGCGCGCCCCTCTCCCAACATGAGCCCCGCCCGGAACGGAGCGCCGGAGGTGTCCCCTGTCTTGCTCTGCCTCTGCTGCATTCATGTGTTCTTGTCGTGCGCCGTCTTTAGCTCCCGGTTCGTCGCTGGCCAGCCGCCGAAGCCGGTCTTCGCGTGCGACGTGGACGGCGACCCGAGCCTCGCTGCCTTCGGGTTCTGCAACGCGTCGTTGGGAGTCGAGGCGCGGGTGGCGGACCTGGTGAAGCGGCTGACCCTGCAGGAGAAGATCGGATTCCTGGTGAACAGCGCCGGCAATGTGGACCGCCTGGGGATCCCCAAGTACGAGTGGTGGTCGGAGGCGCTGCACGGGGTGTCGTACGTCGGGCCCGGGACGAAGTTCTCGAGCCTCGTCCCGGGGGCGACGAGCTTCCCTCAGGTCATCCTGACGGCGGCCTCGTTCAATGCCACCCTGTTCGAGATCATTGGGAAGGTTAGCGAGTTCACATCGTTCACTCTCTCACTCTTTCTCTTTCTTGTGCTTCTGTGTTTCTTACTTGTGCATGATGGAACAGCATAACGTATTCGCATCTGCGCGTTGTAGTTGTCTGCATCATGCATGATATGATAGAAAAAAAAAACCCGAAACTTTTATCCAACATGATAAGAAAGCGCGTGTTGCGAAGCAACTGCGGCCATTAGAACGGCTGGCGGGGACCACCGGCCACCGTCACTCGAATCGGTAGATGCAGTGCGCACAGTAAATTTAGTAACTTTATACTGCGACATATAAAAATTTCATGCAGATGAATTCCTTTTATGTCACTCCTTCGATCTAAGTTTCTGCGTCCGCCGCTGCCATTCCTAATAGTCAAGTTAATTTGTGTCGACATTCACGCGGAACGTCCTAACTCGTAGTGTCGCGTCTTTATCACCATTCTATATCTTTAACTCTCTCAAATGCGGCATTAAATAAGCCCCGATATACGTCGTAGGTTGTGCTGGATGTAGGGTTTACGTCTAATCTTCATCCACCGTTTGATTTGAATCTGAACCCACAAACTACTACAAGATCAAGAAGTACCAAGCGCATTGCTGCAGATGACTTCCCAGCTCTTTGCCGCGAGATTCTTGATACTAGGGGAAATGAGAACTTTCTTTTTTGGGGTGAAACTGCAATGATGAAATTGGCCATGAAAAGTAACCATGAAATTGGGAGGCGAAGCGGCAGATGCTGTTTGGGAGATCTTTTTGGTTGAATCCTCAACCACTCTGGTATCAGTTGGTGCGACCTTTCTAGCTGGACACCATAAACTGCACTAAGCGCGACCCCCCAAAAGAAATAATAGAGAACTGACTGACTGACTGACTGACTTTAAAGGCACCAGCTAAAGTCCATACATGCTTTGCTTGTTCCCACAGTGAAGTTTGACAAAAACATCATCGAACCTTCACCGAGTTGTCCGTACTATTGTGGAAAAACATGTAATGTGGACACAAGAATTAGCTGGTTTCCGATCCTATGTAAAGGTTGCTGCATGAGGAAATTTTGCATACATTAAAAGAAAAAGAAAGTAGAGAAGGATCTCTGCATCTAACCTTCACCGTGTTGTCTGTACTATTGTGGAAAAACATGTAATGTGGACACAAGAATTAGCTGGTTTCTGATCCTATGTAAAGGTTGCTGCATGAGGAAATTTTGCATACATTAAAAGAAAAAGAAAGTATAGAAGGATCTCTGCATCTATGAGTATCACAACCATTAGGATTTGTTGGGTGTTTGTTAGTTGGTGGAGATGATAATTACTGGAGCTTGCATAGGGGTAGCTGTCATGAGTATTGCCATGCCATTGCACAAAGTAGTTCCTTCCTTTGCACTCAATGAGGGGGACCAATTTCAATTGTTAATGCTGGAAACAGAAAACTTTCTATAAGGGAAATTGTTTAGATGATTCGGCTGGAGTTTCGAATACATCGGGAAGAAAGGATAGACTGGACTTGTGACCGAAAAATACGAGAATAGCACGCGTTGAACGACCTTAAGTTTTGGCGAAAAGGGGGAAAAAGGAAACACATCCGAAACTTTTCCTGGTGATTTAGTCATCGATCATCATGATCTGCTTGTTGTCTTCTACTTCTACTTCTACTGTACATTAGTTAAGAATGTTTCATTCAAATGCCCTTAGAATTCATCCTATGTCGCTGATTGTCGCAGCATTGGTAGCCCGAAAATGAATTAGTTTCTTATTCCAACGGGGACGAAAAGTTGAACATTTTTAAGTTCTGCATGATGATATGGAGAAGAGTAGACGAATTACGCGATAGCTTTGTTGAAGCAGGTGGTTTCGACAGAAGCCCGGGCGATGCACAATGTGGGGTTAGCCGGATTAACGTTTTGGTCTCCAAATGTCAACATATTCAGAGACCCGAGATGGGGACGGGGCCAGGAAACCCCGGGGGAAGACCCGCTGCTCTCGAGCAAGTACGCATCGGGTTATGTCAGAGGGCTACAACAGAGCGATGACGGAAATGCAGACCGGCTTAAGGTCGCTGCGTGTTGCAAACATTATACTGCGTACGACCTTGAAAACTGGAAAGGTGTCGATCGCCTCCACTTCAATGCTGTGGTAAATAACAATTTGTGGACTTCTCTCTCCTGTTTTTGTTCGATTTGATTTATCAACCGGTTATATGCATGACCAACCATCTCAAGTTAGTCTCCCGTATTTAGGTAACACAACAAGATTTAGATGATACGTTTCAACCGCCGTTCAAGAGTTGTGTCCTCGACGGCAATGTCGCGAGTGTGATGTGCTCCTTCAACCAGGTTAATGGCATACCAACGTGTGCAGACCCGGACCTTCTCGCCGGGGTTATCCGAGGAAAATGGAAATTAAACGGGTAACATTCCATTGCTCGTGCATTGCTATTCGATACTTTTGATCAATTTATTGCAATGCTATTTATGCGAAAGCGTCGATTAACGCAGATACATAGTTACGGATTGCGATTCGGTGGACGTGTTCTATAATTCCCAACACTATACTAAAACACCAGAAGAGGCTGTAGCTAAGGCCATTTTGGCAGGTAGACACAAGTTTCATATCCTACTGAGATCAATTGCGATGGAGGCGTTTGAGAATTCGCCCTTGAATGCTTTTACATCGATGACTCTAATTCCCTTTTTGACAGGGTTGGATCTCAATTGCGGATCTTTCCTTGGCCAACACACCGAAGCGGCGGTGAAAGGTGGACTGTTGGATGAATCGGAAGTCGACAGGGCCGTCTCTAACAATTTTGCCACGCTGATGAGGCTCGGCTTCTTCGACGGCGATCCTAGGAAGCAGCTGTACGGAAAGCTCGGCCCGGACGACGTGTGCACACCGAGCAACCAGGAGCTCGCCCGCGAAGCCGCGAGGCAAGGGATTGTGTTGCTCAAGAACAAGGCAGGATCGTTGCCCCTGTCCTCGACCGCCATAAAGTCCTTGGCGGTGATCGGACCAAATGCCAATGTCACGAAGACCATGATCGGGAACTACGAAGGTAATGGAAGAATTTACGCGATAGGCCACGCAACATTCCATCAGCTTCATTATACGTACCCGTCATGGAAAATACCTTGATTAGAACTCCGATGTTCCTTGCAGGAACTCCTTGCAAATACGTGACGCCTTTGCAAGGCCTAGCAGCCGTCCTTTCGACAACATACGTGGCCGGCTGCGCGGACGTGGGATGCGGCACGGCCCAAACAGACGATGCGAAGAAAGCTGCGGCTTCGGCGGATGCAACGGTGCTTGTGATGGGCGCCGACCAGTCGATCGAGAGAGAGGGTGTTGACCGGGTCGACATCCACCTCCCAGGCCAGCAGTCGCTCTTGGTCTCCGAAGTGGCGAATGTGTCGAAGGGGCCTGTGATCCTCGTGATCATGTCGGGGGGAGGGATGGATGTGTCGTTCGCGAAGGACAACGACAAGATCACGAGCATTTTGTGGGTCGGTTACCCCGGCGAAGCCGGCGGTGCTGCAATGGCGGACGTGATTTTCGGGGACCATAATCCTAGTAAGATTCAGAGTCTTTAGCCACTTCAAATTTTGCAATCCTTGATTCAAATTCCGATTCACGAGTTGCTAAACTTTACTTGAATCAGGTGGAAGATTGCCAATGACATGGTATCCGCAGTCATACGTGGACGCCGTCCCAATGACGAACATGAACATGAGGCCTGACCCGGCCACGGGCTACCCGGGCAGGACATACCGCTTCTACACCGGGCCGACCGTGTACTCATTCGGGGACGGGCTGAGCTACTCCGACTTCAGCCACCGTCTAGTCCAAGCGCCCCAGATCATGTCCGTGCCCTTAGAGGAAGGCCACGTTTGCCGCTCGTCGGCGTGCGAGTCGTTGGAAGCCACGGGCGAAAAGTGCTCGAATTTGGCCTTCGACGTGCATCTGAGAGTCGAGAACGTAGGAAGGTACAGCGGGAGCCACACGGTGTTCTTGTTCAGTAGCCCCCCATCGGTGCACAGGTCGCCCCAGAAGCACTTGGTGGGCTTTGAGAAGGTGTTCTTGGCCTCGCAAAGCGAGGGACAAGTGCAGTTCAAGGTCGATGTCTGCAAGGATCTGAGCGTGGTCGACGAGGTCGGTCGCCGGAAGGTCGCCTTGGGGACGTATGTCCTCCACGTCGGGGACTTGAAGCATGCGCTGAGCGTGCGGATTTGATCGTCCGGCGCTCCCTGAACCCGCGGTGAATTTTCAAGTTTTCGCGGATCTTCGCCTGGACATTTCCTGAACGAGAAATCAAAGTGATAAAAGTTTGAGAGATGTTCGCAAGAACTGTCTCAACCAATTCACATGTAGCCAATATTGTTCAAAAGCAAATGGAAGTTTTTGACTACCTTGTGTAGCAACTCTTCTTTCTTTTTAATTTACATCAGTGACAATAAGTAAAGTAAATACAATAAATCAAGCCAATCACATGTCAAGAAACAGTCGAGCATTGCATCTATGCTAACGATTTCAGCATTTTGCGTGAGTAGAATCGGAAGTATTTGTTAATGTTGATTACTATAAATGGCTGTTGGTAAAAATATGATAGGCAATTTACTTATTCTATAAAATATTATTGATTTAATTAATAAAAGTACGAATATCTATTCGAAATTGAAAAATAAATGGTAGTGAGTAACTCAAATATGACTTGATAAGCTAAAATTATCTAGTATCATTCAAACTAAGATTACGTTTGTTTTGCGGAAATAACTTCCAAGAAAATATTTTCTAGAATCTAGCGAATTGGAGCCTCACCGGCTTGTGGTGAGGCTCGAGCTCGCTTGTGGTCGATCGCCAGTCGGAGAAGACGGGAAAAGAAAAAAAGAAAAGATGAAAGAAAAAAATCAATTAAAAAAAAGACAATTATTAAAAGTAGTGTATGGAGGAAAATCAAATTAGATTTTTCATACCAAATGACGAAAATTACTTTCCGAGTCTTTTTAATATTTCAACTGAACACCTAAAAATTGTGTCATTTTGAAAAATGGCTTCTTAGAAAACATTTTCCAGAAACGTCGCATTTTTTGCGAAACGAACAGAACCTAACACTCTTATATTTGTGTAAGAGTTAATTTAACACGTTAATAAACTTCGCAAATCATAGTGGTAATTTCGAAGAGGCAAGATAAATGTCGATTTTAGGTTTTCAAATAAGAGTTAATAAGCTTAAATCAGTTGGTAATTCACCATGTGAAAAGAAAATAAATTATTGAGATTATGATTGGTAATTTTCTACGAGAGTTAACAACCTAAACACGATTATAAACCATGTATAAACGTGGTAATTTGCTACATCCTAACTTTTTAAGGTCTCTAACAAAAAAAAAACTTTTTAAGGTCCAATAAATATCTGTCAGTGACTTAAATAAAGATGGATAATAAAACTTAGGGTTAATACCATAAAAAATCCAAAACTGATACACCTGTGATAATTTTACCTCGAACTATTTTTTTTATCACAAAAAACTCCAAACTGGTACACCTGTGACAAATTTACTTACTAGTACACTTGTGACAATTTTGATCCGAACTATTTTTTTACCACAAAAAACCCCACACTGGTACACCTGTGATAATTTTACCCCCGAATTAATTTTTTGACCACTAAAAACTTCAAATTGGTACATTTGTGACAAATTTACTCTCTTTTAGTGTCCATTAAATTGAATTAATATCACGAAAAATCACAAATTGGTAAACTTGTGACAAACAGATGGATAAAATCCAAAATCGGTACACCTATCAATTACCACATGTCATTAAACTTAGCAATTTTACAGTAAAATTTAACGGAAACTAACGGAGGGTAAATTTGTTACAGATGTACCGGTTTGAGATTTTTGGTTATAAAAAATTTAGTTCGGGGGTAAAATTATCATAGGTGTACCAGTGTGGGGTTTTTGGTGATTAAAAAATAGTTCGGAGTAAAATTATCATTAATGTACTAGTTTGAGGTTTTTTGTGATAAAAAATATAATTTGGGGTAAATTTATCATAGGTGTACTAGTTTGAGATTTTTCGTGGAATTAACCCTAAAACTTAACAAAAATTAATAAAACTTAACAAAATTTATACATCATTCTACCAAAAAAAATTTATACATCATTCAAATTAAATCGGCAATTTCGTATGGAAAATTAATAACTATTTAAGGCGTTGAATGGCAATGCCGATCTCCTTCCTTCTTCCTTCAACCCCTCCAGTTTGAGAAAATATTGCGTGAGTGGAAGCGCAAAAGCCAGAAGCAGCCCATACATATAGATATACGTACGTGGGCATACTCGTTTATGCGGGGGCGAGCAAGTGGCAGCTTCTCTACGGCATTTGGTCGAACAGGTGGTGAGCGTGTCGTTGGGATTTCAGAATAAAGCTGGGTCCGCCGGATCATCTCCCAGGTGAAGGTTGCGGTTCTTGTCTTGTCTTCCTACGGTTTGGCATGACTTGTTGTGTTCCTTGCCCATCTTCTGGCGAAGAACTTTTCAGGGGAATACTGTTTATCAGGAAACTGAGCCGTTCCATCAAGCAGCTTCTGTCCGGCATTTGGTCGAACAGGTGGTGAGCGTGTAGTTGGGACTTCAGAAGATAACTTGGTCCACAGGAGTGGCGCTTGAAATCATATTCCTACGGTTTGGCATAACTTGCTGTGTTCCTTGCCCATCTTCTGGCAAGAACTTTTCCAGGGGAATGCTGTTTATTAGGAAACTGAGCCGTTCAATCAAGAAAGATCCTCTCTTGAATTGGCAGTTGTCTCTCGCTGATAAGCACCTCGTAGGCAGGGCCACAATCAGACAGTGCCCTCGAGCTTACAAGTGCCATGGGTCTGTCCGTTCTTTGTTTAATGTAGAGAACCATGGTTTTCCCACGAAAATTATCGAGAGCGAAGTCAATAGGCATTGTGTAGCTGGCTTTTCATCGTTCGTTGAGACGGTGTTGGTACAAGCTAGGGATCCTGCTAAACTCAGCAGTGAATTGGTGACCGCAGTTGACGAGCGAAGGCATGATGATGCGTGGAAGTTGTATGAGCTACATATGCACATGGATGGGTTTCCCAGAAAATCTGTGGTGCACAAGCTTATAGCGAGTTTGACCGAAACCCTCGATGTCCAGTGGCTCAAGAAAGCGTATGGGTTGGTGGAATGTGCTTTCGAGGAGGGTAAGCAGAACTTGTTTGAGAAGGAGACTCTAATTTATCTCTCTTTCGGTCTCGCGAAGGGTGGATTACCAGTTGCTGCATCTACTGCTTTGAGGAAGTTGGTCGACATGGAAGGGTATCCCCCTGTTGCGGCTTGGTCCGCAATCTTGGCTTACATGTCTCAAACAGCACCTGGAGCTTATCTCGCAGCTGAACTTGTTCTTGAGATTGGTTATTTGTTTCAAGATGGACGAGTCGATCCTCGTAAAAAGTGCAATGCGCCTTTGGTTGCTATGAAGCCCAATACTACTGCTTTTAACATTGCCTTGGTCGGGTGCTTCTTGTTTGATACTTGCAGGAAAGCGGAGGAACTCCTTGACATGATGCCAAGGATACAGATTAGAGCTGACACAAACTTGTTGATCATAATGGCACATATACATGAGAGGAATGGCCGGCGAGAGGAGCTAAAGAAGCTTCAGAGGCACATAGAGGAAGCTCCGAACCTAACTGATATGCAGTTCCGGCAATTTTACAATTGTTTGCTTACTTGCCATTTGAAGTTTGGGGATCTACATTCTGCGTCCAGCATGGTTTTGGATATGCTGCGCAAGGCAAAGGAAGCAAAAAACTCACTTGCTGCTGCTACGTTCGCATTCGATGGTACTCGGAAGGGTAATGATTTGACTGGTGGAGTAGTTTCTGGTCAAAGTCATCGAAATAGCAGATTGGACTTCCTGGAGAACGTGTCATTGAAGCAACAAGCTATTGTATCATATGAAGAGTTCTCTAAAGATCGCAAGTTTGAGAAACTGCAGGCTGAGGCAGAGCAAGCTCTTACTGGATTGTTGGCTAAGTTGCAGGTGCAAGTGGAATTGGTAACAACTCACCGTGGGATTCTTCAACCAACAGAGAACATTTACGTGAAATTGGTTAAGGCTTTTCTTGAAGCTGACAAAATCAAGGATTTGGCAGATTTCCTTATTAAGGCTGAGAAAGAAGACTTGCCCGTTTCAAATGATGGTTCGGCCTTGGTTCATGTCATTAATTCGTGCATTTCACTTGGTTGGCTGGATCAGGCATATGATCTCCTTGATGAGATGCATTTGGCTGGGGTTAGAATGGGTTCTGCTGTGTATTCTTCTCTCTTGAAAGCATACTGCAAAGCCAACCGAGCCACAGAGGTGACATCGCTTCTCCGAGATGCTCGTAAAGCAGGGATCCAGCTAGATGCAAGCTCTTACGAGGCAATGATCCAGTCTAGGGTTCTTCATGATGATACTCAAGGGGCACTTAACCTATTTAGAGAGATGAAAGATTCCAAAATACCTCGATTAGGTCATCGAGAGTTTGATTTATTGGTCAAGGGTTGTGCTGAAAGTGGTGAGGCAGGTCTCATGTCAAAGCTCTTGCAGGAAATCAAAGAAGGCCAGAGGATTGATTGTGGTGTTCATGATTGGAACAACGTCATTCATTTTTTCTGCAAGAAGAGACTAATGCAGGATGCAGAGAAAGCTTTGAAGAAAATGCGCAGTCTAGGGCATTCCCCTAATGCACAGACATTCCATTCTATGGTGACTGGGTATGCTGCTATTGGAGGAAAATACGTTGAGGTAACTGAGCTGTGGGGTGAAATGAAAGCTCTCTCTGCTTCCTCCCCGATAAAGTTTGATCAGGAACTCTTGGATTCTGTACTCTATACTTTTGTTAGAGGTGGGTTTTTTGCTCGAGCAAATGAGGTTGTTGGAATGATGGACAGAGGTAACATGTTTGTTGACAAGTATAAATATCGCATGCTCTTTCTAAAGTACCATAAAACACTTTACAAGGGTAAGGCTCCCAAATTCCAGACCGAAGCTCAACTGATAAAGAGAGAAGCAGCATTGAGTTTCAAAAAATGGGTAGGATTGCAATGAAGAAGGATCGCCCACTCTTCTTGGTGATCTTATTGCTGGCGGAGTGGACCGAGTTAGAGTTGACTTTAGAGTGCGTTCCGCAGTCAAACCTAGAGTTGCTGGCATTAGAAGTTGATTCATTGCTATCTCCATATTGCTGGCGGAGTGGACAAAGTGCACTTTTCTGAGAATATAGTGTCATTTAACATTGGCAAGAGAGAGATGACAAGAACGATGTCTTCATGTACAGGCAAGATTTGTGGTCCAGCTATTCTATTATTTCCTTTTACTTGGTGAGCTTCTTATATGTTTTTGTTTTCGTTTTCTAGTTGCTGTATTTTTTGCTAGAAAGAAAATGAATTCAGAGGATAATGATGCCATTTTGAGCTGCAGCTTTTTTTGGGTGCTAACCCTTTATGGATCAGACAAAAGTATGTATAGACAATATGTGGCCTTGTAACCCTTACAATCTAGGTGAAACAATGTTCTTTTACCGCCCATGCTCTCTGTTGTATTCTTATCCCTCTGACCTTATTTACTCTATCTTTTCCACATCAACATGAATGTCGCAACGTATGAATTGTTCCTATTCATTTCCGGTATGAGTATTCATTGAATTAAGAAAGTATAGAGTTTTGACAATAAGTCCAGGAGAATCTAGAACAGGGTGCAACGCCACACAGAATCCGAGGATTCCGACTCTTTGCATGCAAGGTTTGCTGTGTCAAGTGTTGATATCCAATGAGCTCTTTCTTTGCTTCCATAGGAATAGCTGTTCGCAGCATGTGTACATTCTCATTCTTGAACGATGTAATCATTGACTGACCTATCGGTGATCACCTGATTGTACAGATTTGAAAGATCCCTGATCAACCGTTGAAGGTTCATATTAGCACGTATTTTCGCTTTAGTTACTTCGAATTCAAGAGATTGGGTTGGTGAATTTGGGCCAAGGACGTGTAGCTATCTATTCTAGCTTGGATTTTGGCACCATTTTTCACTCTCAAATGGCGAACTACTGTCCAGTACAGAGGCCGAAGGAAGCGTCTCATTGAGTCAGAAGAGATTGTAGATCATTTTCCCGGATTGTGTGCAACCTACGAGACGTTGACGAAGCCTTCAACTTCCCCCGAATAAAGCTCACGAGGACATCAAAGAACGTTCGAGATGCAAACCTAAAGAGGAAACAGCTATGGCTCATTCATCAACAAGCAAGCATTGAACTAATATGCTCGTGCCACGGACAATGCTTGTTTGCAAATCGTTATTATTAACTTGTTAAGGCGCTCCACGAGCCCGTCTCAAGTTTGAGGAACCTGGGTTGCGTCCCGGCCGACTCGGGTTGCCTCCTGTTAATTACAGGGCCATTTGCCCTGTGGCTGTCCATTTTCGGCGAACATGTTACATCAACCCCTCCTCCGGTCCCTCGCGAAGCGCAGAGTTGTGTGCGCCAGGACACCCTTTTTCGTCATACAGGTGCGCAGGGCCAACATTGGACTGGACAAGCAGAACAAAACATGACATTAACACAGAGAATAGAAGGATTCATTGGACTTTTAGTGGAAATGGTCCTCTCCCACTTAAAGTTCCATGGACCACACTTTTCAAGGAGCTAGTCCTCCCAGCACTTTTCAAACGTTTGATAGTGGCGAGCTCCATTTGTGGTAATGACTATGAGGACCCACAATAGAAGTTGGGTATCTCCATTTCTAAGTTTGAAATCATTCATATATTCCTCTATGAATTGACTGATGTGTGTCGTATCTATTGTCCGACGTGAGATATTTTCATTCATTATTTCTTACACGCATCTCAATGATGATGATACTCTAAAATATAAACGATCGGGAGAGCCAAAGGATCGCTCTGTTTGAGGATTCTGTGGATGCTTGGATTCAGATTGCCTGTCTGAGGCTTTCCATTGACTGGGGGGATGCATTTCATAAGCCGGTATTGACACCCTTCGAGGCGGAGATCGCTCTTGGGTTTGTTTCTGGTTGGTGGGAGAGAAATTTGAAGACGAGTTCAGGTCGCGTAGCTGATTCCGGTTGCGGCAAGGGCAACTCAGGATGCGAATGCGGGAGAAGTGGAGTTTCGAAGTGTGACGATGTTGGAGATTACCCGTTGTATTATAATGCCCAGGACGGTGGGGAGTGGAATTCTTCTTCTGTGAAGAAGTCGTCCCGGCTTGTGCTGAGGATTCTTGTGCCTTCTGCAGGCAGCAGTAGCATAGCTTAGCATTGGGTATGTACATCTGTCGTACTGCTCATTTGACGCATAATGGTGCGAGTCTCTGTTTGTTTTACAAAGGTTAGCCAGTGTAATTTAAGAGAACTTGGCAGAGTTTTTCACTCTATTCAGTTCTTTCACAGCCAGGAATTTTGCTTCTAGAAAGATTGCTTCCATTTACTAGAGTTTTGTGGGGAACTGTAAGCTAAAGAATTGAGTTTTAGCCAGTACTTTTAGAGAATGGTTGCGACATTTGGCCTTGAGAATATGAGTGTGGATTGCGGACACTAAGATCAAATAAGTGGGTCCAGTGTCCCACTTCTGGTCTTCAGGATCAAGGACTATTAATGTTTTGTGTTAGGAAGCTGAAGAGTTATGTGCTCATTAATTTATATGGAGAAGCTAGTTATATTGCCTGTGCTGCGCATAGGATTTTGTTATTTTAGCGGAAATGTTCTTTTTATTGGAGAAACCAAAGAAACGAAAGAAAATGCAACAATGACATCAAGTAGCATTGTTTCCTTTTACATTTTAGGTCATTTTTGTTCTCTTATTTCAGTAGACTGAAATTGGGACATAGAGAGGAGCAGGAAATACGATTCTAGTGACTTAATCATGCAAAAGGAGTTCTCTGAGAGTATGAAGATGCAAAAAGAACTAGTATAAAAAGTGTAGTGAGAAATGGAAGTTGAGAAACTGATACAGGGAAGACTGTTGAAGACCTCATGGTTCACTGTATTTCCGTGTTGCTGGTGACTCTATTATTATTTTCACGGGTTGGGTTCCTTGGTTGTTATAGCACAGTAACTCTAGATAGAGCTACATATTTTGGCCATGACTCAAAACCGGTCTTGGCAAATATAATCCAGCATAATGAAGAGATTGGCCTTGTCTTTTGTTAATCATCTTTGCATAGCATGCTCTTATTGGATATTGCCTTCAGAAAGGCTATTGTGAAGCTTTTGAAGTAAAGCTTATCCTAGAAATCAGGAACTTAGTGCCAATCTTACCTCCTTTGAGTATATTTGCTTCAGTGATCCAAGTTTGTGATGATAAGCCTTGTGCTGTTACACGTTCCAGGGCTAAGAATGATGTTTGTCGGAAGTATTACATGCATACTTTCTTTCAGCTGCAAGTAATAACTTGATCTTCCTGGGATGTTCAGTGCGTTTAGGAACTCAGTGGAATAGTTGAAATCTTGTCACGCATGACTATTCTTGTCAGAAGTTTTATGTTTTTGATGTTCTTCCTTCTCGTCAGATTGAACATGTAGTCAATCATCTCATTTCAGTGTCATTTAGAGGAGTGAATGGAAGAAAGATTAAGTGAACTCCTTGGGTAATCTTCATCATGTTGATTGTTGGAAGAAGCTGGGGTATGTGCTTTCTATTACCTGCTGAAGAGGATCTTCTTTTCTATAATGTGAAACTTCTCCAGGGTTTTATTTCTGTAGATGGTCTTTTCCTTCTTTTCTAACTGCGCATGCTGCTGCGTCCACAACATGTAGGCGTCACCTGTTGAATTCTTGTTTCGAGCTATTCACTTGTCCAATTAGTTAAAAGTTGCATGTATTCTCATGTTATAGAAAGCATATATAATCCGTATCCTATCTATTAAGCACAATCCATTTATGCATTCTCGAACAATATCCAGTTGTTTACCTTTCAAAAGCACTGGTACAATTTGAAGGTATGGTTTTCCTTCCAAATGGCTTGTCTGCAGCTTTAGGTTCTCTGAAACTGATCATGCCTTCACCATTCTTGAGTCATCTGCAGGGTGCCTTATCCCAAATTACGAATGCTGCTTCGTCAGGCAGCTCCGGGGAGCTAGTATTTTGGTTGATTGAACATGTACTATCTTCAAATAAGACATCTAGCGGAATGTCGAACCGACTATTTGACATTCTTCTACCGGGTAGAAGCAATGATACAGTTCCTGGTCATGAATGCAGTGAGTAGCTAACAGGCAGTTTGAATGCAGCTGTTCGTTTGTTAAATTTACTTGTATGTAAAGTTTGAAGAGTGTAGTGGTTGCGAAGATGGCAAAACCATTTTTCTTCGAGGCCTGAGTCTTGTAACCATAGTTTTTTTTATAGAATTGCCTTCCAATGCCTCCATGACTATATACAAACACAATGCCGCCTTTCAAGTTTCCTTTGATGGAAAAACGTACAGCTTCGGCATAACGTGTCTCTTCTCGATCAATGTTGCCAGTTCAATGTTCTTGTTTTTTGGCCATCCAATGTTGCAATTGAGCAATTCAGCTCGCTCTGAATCAATTGCGCTCCAACATTCTTTTGTCTGCAAAGGTGGCGTTTCGAGTCAGTCCGTAATCTATCTATGAGAAGCAATGGGTTCTGATTTGTTCTTGACACAACCGAAGATTGGGAAAATTGTCAAATCGATCCTAAACTATTATGCGGTCGTCAATCGATCCTAAACCTTTTAAGTTTGTCAATTGGTCCTAAACCTTTTAATTCTTGCCAATTCAGTCTTTCCGGCCAATTTTGGCCGCTGCCGACGAGGTCGCCGGGCGCCGGCCGTCCGACAACGCCGACGTGGCAATTTTTTATTATTTTTTTCAATTTTTAATCTTTTTTTTTTTTTTTATTTCTTCCTCGGCCGGTCCGGCGACCGGAGGGGAGCCGCAGGTCGACCTCGCGGCCCTGGCGGCGAGGTCGACCTCGCCGCCCAGGTGGCGGGTCGCCTCGCCGAGTGAGCGAGGTTGACCTCGCGTCGCGTCGCGCGGCGAGTCGAGCTCGCAGCCGGCGGACCTCACCTAGCCAGGGGCCGGCGAGGGCGAGCCGATTGCCGGAAGGCGAGGAAGAAATCGAAAAAAAAGATCAAAATGAAAAAATAAAAAAATTGGATGGCCGAGTAATGGGATGGCTGAGTAATTCTACCTTCTTGCTGAGGATATCTTCTGATAGAGTTATCAGTTCTCCTACTGAAGAACGGTGGTTACCTGACAGAACGGAAGAGTAGTGACAGAGCCCAGTATGCATCACTCAACTCTTTTTGGCCAATGTCAGTTGCAGTAGTTTAAGGATCTTGGACCTAGAACCATGTTCGCTGAGTGGAATTCTGAGATAGTATCTTCCTTCCGTAGTCGGATGTGCATATCTTGTTCTTGTTGTACACCTTTATGTTTTCCTCTCCCTGCCGCGCTCTCTATTCGACTCATCGCCAACAAATACTGATGGAAATTCCGCATGTGTCGATTCCCTATGACTATCGGTTGGCCGTGTTCATCAAGGATATCCAAACAGCCTTTTAGAACCGGCACCGGTTTAGCTTCATGTCCTTGGTGTGCATGTTAACGGGGAAAAAAGTAGTTCGGTCCCCGGTTTGAGTCGCGATTCGAATGACTCGGGAACATGATAAATCAGGTTGATTTCGGGGCCGGGAACCGGTCTTCTTAAAGAAGAGCTTTTCCTGTAGATGTCGATGTGGACATTTGAACTGAGTAAGTAATCCTCTCTTTTCAGCCGATGTTGTGGTATCTTTCTTCCGTGGTCGGATGTGCATATCTTGTTCCCGTGATACGCCTTCATGTTTTCCTCATCCTCCGCTCTCTATTCGACTCATTCCAAACAAATACCGATGGAAGTTCTTCATACGCCGATTTCCGATGGCTACAAGTCGGTCGTGTTAATCTCATTATCCCGTGTGGAAGTGGTGTCCATGGAGGATACCCAATTGCCTTTCAGAACCGGCATAGCCGGTTCAGTTCCCATCCGAGTTGGGCATGCGCACATGGATAGAAAAGAACGCGGATCCCCGGTTTGAGTCGTGGCTCGATCGACTCACGAACCGAATAAACCGGGTTGGTTTTCAAGGTAAAAACCGCTCTGAACTTGATGCGGGGACGAGCATAGTTTACTTTGAGCCGGACCGAGTCGAGAAAAAAGGAAACAGAAGAAGGGGCCCGAAATCTTAAACCGGCCTAAGTTGAAAACGAAAAATTTAGGCCGGATCAATCGGGCGGTTCGATCAACAGGGCCGGTTGAGGGAAAGAAAGAGATGCCACACTGATCTTTTTATGACTCCTCCATCGCATTTAAATGATTTCTTGTTCTTGTTGTTTTCTTTGTCATTTGCTCTGAACCGGTGCATGATGGGGCTCCATCACTTTAGATCCGGGTACAACGATCCGCCTGACATGATAATCCCACCCAAGAACGATCCACCGACCCGAATTAATGTTTCTATGGCACTCGAATTCAGGAAATTGCAGCAATTGGCCCATGGCCTTCAATTGATAGATATAAACCTAAGTAAGTCCTTAAAAAGTTTTGTCGGTCCCTTCTAGATTTCGGGATTAGCGGGATGTAAAACTTCCAGATGGTATTCCTTCTCTTTCTTAGGAAGACGACAATACATGGTAAATTAGGGGTGCGAGGTATGCGGGCACTAATATATTATATCCGGGTATGGGGATCCGCCTGACATGATAATCCACTCACGAACAATCTACTTACCCGAATTAAAGGTTCTGTGGCACCCGAATTCAGGAAAATTGCAGCAATTGAAGGCCATGAATTAATGGTTATGCGGCGCCCAAATTCAGGAAAATTGCTGCAATTGGCCCGTGGCCTTCGATTGATAAAACGATTTCATGCCATTTCCCATTCAATTCCTAGTCTTCGGTCTTCCCTACTGTCTCAATCAGAACGGACTGTAATATCTTCTGGGTACTGAGAGCAGTAGAGAAGTTACTGCACTCTTACAAAGTTAATTTACCCTTCATTGTGTTCGCTTCGATTCAGAATGAATTTCGCAAATTTTTGCATAGCAAGTCGAAAGGGGGAAATTACCAAAAAAAGTCATAAAGCTGTTACGTTTGTGCCGATTTAGTCTTAAATCTTTCAATTGTGTCAATTTTGTCCTAAATATTTTACACGTTTTGTCTATTGAGTCAATCCGGCCAAGTTTAGTTGGAAATTACCGACGTGGATCCTAGTTATGTCACATAGGACCACAACTACTGACGTGAACGATTTTTATAAAAAAAATTGAATTTTTTTCTTTTTCTTTACCAAGTTCGGCGAGGGTCGTCAGCGCCGACCGACCCTCGTTGGCCACTTGCAGCCCTCACCTATGATCGGACTTGGTAGAAAAAAAAAAGGAAAAGAAAGAAAGAAAAGAAGAAGAAGAAGAAGAAATTATAAAACTTATAAAAAAAATTCATAAATTTAAAAAAAAAAATCATAAAAATTGTTTGTATCATCACTGGCCGTGCCACATAGGGTGGCTGGCGTTCATGCCAGCGAATTCTGGCTAAAATCGACCGGATGGACTCAATTGACAAAAAGCGTGATAATATTTGGGATTGAATTGGTACAATTATAATAGGTTAATGATCTTTTTAGTAATTTTCCCCAGGTTGAAGTAGACAGTCCATTCTAATGGAAGAACATCGAATTTTACAAAATTTTGGCTACAGTTAAGTCTATTGCTTGAATTTGCAAGTTTAAGAGCTTTCAAATGACCTCGTTTGAAGATCTTACCTCGGCCAGCTTGCCCCTTCTGCGATCAAGAGGTTGAAACGGTGGAGCACATCTTTCTTATCTGCCCCTGGACCGAAGCAATTTGGACAGCACCTTCAGTTCAGATCAAAATCGCTCGTGAGGAAATAACACGAATTGAGGTATGGATTCAAAACTATCAGCTACAGCCACATAAACTGCTTACACTAGATGAGATTGCCAGTATCTTCTGGTTGATTTGGAAGGCTAGAAATGAATTTGTTTTTCGGAAAAAACCCCCAAATCCGAGTACCTTAATTGAGTCGGCAAGGATGATGTCTCAAAACTATAGCAAGTGGAATCACAAGAGCTCTAATCTGCATACTGAAAAGGTTCCTTTACCTCTGAATTGGAACCCACCGGCGATGAACTCCTTCAAAATCAACATCGATGGGGCTTTTCATGAACATGCAACAGAAGGAGCAGTAGCGGCAATCCTCAGAGATGCGACTGGAACCTTGCTAGACGGCTTCGCTAGAACAGTCCCGGCGACTTCGCCGTTGCACACGGAGCTACAAGCGATGCTGCACGCGCTTCAGTTCTTCGCCGACTTGAGGAGTGAGCAAATAGTTTTGGAAACAGACTGTCTCCATATGGTAAACTTGCTGAATGACCAGAGTCAAGTCGGCTGGGAAGAGGAAGCTGCAGTTCATGAAGCCTTGCTCCGTATGGCCCAATTCAGTAAATTAACCATTGCAACAGATCCGCGAACCAAGCTGCTGATTGGATCTCCAAAGCGCATCGCAGAAATTCTCTGAATTTATTTTGGCTTGCCCGTCCCCCCCAACCGTTATGGGAGTTGTTATGTTTTGATGCCCCTCTGTCGGGTTGTAGTTTCAACAACTCTTAAGTTTCAATGTATATCGTTCTATTTCGACCAAAAAAAAAAAAAATGACCTCGTTTACCCATAATTCTGTTAATTTCAATTGTAAAAGAACTTCGGAAAGTTTAAATCACCGGCATCGATAAGTTACTAATTCTTTTTTTTTTTTTTGCTAACTGCAAACTCACTAATGGGTTTGCTTTTATTTGCTCGATTGCATATGATCCGATGGCTGGAAATCACTATAATGCAATTCATCAACTCGTCTAACTTAAAAGGCTCTACACTTTTGTGATTAAGGCTCCGTTTGTTTTGCAAAAAATGGACGATTTGGAAAATATTTTTCTAAATCCGATTCATTATATCGATTACAAAAATGAATGAATGAAAAGTATTTTCATCTTTTACGAAAATGTTTCAGCATGAATTGTTGTCGCTACTAAATTTTTCATTTTATTGACTAATTATTAAACGATACAATTGATCATTTTTAAGAGAATATTTTCCAAATCGTTTATTTTCCGCACAATAGATATGACCTAAATTTCTTAACACCTCGGACACTTTAGGAATAGCAATATCTCGACGACTCTTACGTCGGTTTAAAAGAACCATCCGAAAAGTAAGTACTTTTTCCTACCGGCCACCATTAAGAAGTTCGATATTGTGTCCGATCATTCCACCCCTTCCCTTCCCCTCCAGGCCCCGCACTTCAGATTCCCATCCCCGACTCGTCCCATCCCATCCCAATCAAGACATAATCTC